ATGCCATTGGTCTCACTCATCACAAGAACTTGGTGCGGTTGATAGGCTATTGTGAGGCTGAAAAAGAAAGATTGTTGGTTTATGAGTATATGAGCAATGGCACTTTGGCAAGTCTTATTTTCAGTGAGGTGAAACCTGAGTGGAAACTGAGGTTAGAGATTGCATCTGGGGTAGCTAGAGGACTTGCATATTTGCATGAAGAGTGCATCACTCAGATTATCCACTGTGACATAAAGCCACAAAACATACTCATTGATGAGTACTATAATGCCAGAATTTCTGACTTTGGATTGGCCAAGCTCTTGAAGATGAACCAAAGCAGAACCAACACTGCCATAAGGGGAACAAAGGGGTATGTGGCACTTGAATGGTTTAAAAACATGGCTATCACAGCTAAAGTGGATGTCTATAGTTATGGTGTGTTGTTGCTTGAGATCATTTGCTGCAGAAGAAATGTAGAAATGGATCTAGAAGAGGAAGAGAAGGTTATACTAATTGATTGGGCTTGTGATTGCTATTCAAGAGGTACTTTTGATCCCTTGGTTGAAGATGACAAGGAGGCATTCGATGACAAAAAGAACATGATGAAGTTGGTGATGATTTCCATTTGGTGCATTCAAGAGGATCCAATTCTTAGACCAACCATGAAAAAAGTGACACAGATGCTTGAAGGTGTTGTAGAAGTCGAACCTCCACCATTCCCCTCACAATTTAGTAGACATTCTCAAAATCCATGACTTCTTCATGTAACCTCAAAAAACACTAAAATAAAACATCTTTGATTCACTCCTGTTCCAGGGTTTTCCTATTTACTTATTTTATGTTGTCTCTATTATGTCTTTGAAGATTATGAAGTGTTCTCGCTTGCATATATCATGTTATTTCCAATCATATTTCACAATTATTAGCAATTCCTTGTTTCTTTTGTATAAATACATATGTTATTTTAATTGGAACATTGTTTTTAGCACTAGCTCAAAATTAGTCTTCCATGTTACATGTTTTAGGTTGAACTTAAAGGAAAATATCGAAAAAAAAAGTGCATTTTGGTAAATAAGTAGAACCTATTTACGTTGGACTTATTGAAATCTAACTAAAATTGTTTAAATTAGAGCTCCCAAATTCCTTTTTCCTTACGATTTCCACACGAATTTTTCCTCTTCTCTCGTTTTCTTTCTCTGACGGTATCATGAGTGTTTCTAAAGGTGTTGAAGGTCAGTTTTGTTGTGATTGGTGTTTTTAACTAAGAGGATTGAATTTTTTGTGGGATGCTCTGTATCTTCACTGTATTATTGGAATTATTGAAATTGATCTATATCTTCATTGTATTATTGGAATTAGTGAAATTGAAACCCATATTGTTTTTTATATCTCAATCACGAAAATGTTTGAATGTGTTCATTGAATTTGTTTGTTTATGTAATTTTTGTTTAATTTAAATTATGCTATTTAGTTTATTAAATTTGATAATTGAAATTAAAGTATTTTAAGAAGTGAACAATATTAAATGGTGATAAATACTATAACTTGAAATTTAAGAATAATAAATTTTTAGGCACTAACTAATTATAGTAAGCGACTTAGTCTTTTAGTCCCACTTTGTTAAAAATATTAGAGATTAAATTATAAGAAATTTATAAAATATAATTAACATTGACTATTTATATGATTTTGAAGGGTCAATGTAATTTTAAGTTTTTCTTTATAGTTTTTCTCTCACAAAGATAAATTTATTTTTTTATTAGAATTCATGTTTCATTATAAGACAAGTGTATAGTTTATATGATAAATTAAACAAATCTTATAAATTTGAAAATTAATAAATAATATTTAATTTAATGTACATTATATAAATAACTATTCTCTGTATTTAATTAGAAAAATCAAAGTTATAAAAAAAAACTTAAAATTACATTGATATGTGTAAATATTCGTGAATAAAATATGCTACAAATAATAAATGGATACTTCAAAGAACTACTCGCTCTAATCAATAATAGATAATTTAATACCAACTAATAAAGATATGTATATGTATCATATTATTTGTATTTGGGTATCCATTATTCATAAAAAAATAAAAATAAAAATAAAATTTAATTTATATTTTATTTGGTTAAATTTAATTTATATTTAATTTAATTCACATTATATTTTATATTTTTTTTATAATTTTATTTAAATTTTAATTTAAAATATATAAATTTTTAAATATTCACAAGTATCCATAGATACCCTCGAGTTTTAAAATCCTCACGAATATATTTTAAATGGATATCCAACACGTAATAGTGTGGGTAATGAGTCAAATTTTCTTTTGCAGGTTAGGTTAGTGTTTGATTNAGAGATTAAATTATAAGAAATTTATAAAATATAATTAACATTGACTATTTATATGATTTTGAAGGGTCAATGTAATTTTAAGTTTTTCTTTATAGTTTTTCTCTCACAAAGATAAATTTATTTTTTTATCAGAATTCATGTTTCATTATAAGACAAGTGTATAGTTTATATGATAAATTAAACAAATCTTATAAATTTGAAAATTAATAAATAATATTTAATTTAATGTACATTATATAAATAACTATTCTATGTATTTAATTAAAAAAATCAAAGTTATAAAAAAAACTTAAAATTACATTGATATGTGTAAATATTCGTGAATAAAATATGCTACAAATAATAAATGGATACTTCAAAGAACTACTCGCTCTAATCAATAATAGATAATTTAATACCAACTAATAAACATATGTATCATATTATTTATATTATTTGTATTCGGGTATCCATTATTCATAAAAAAGTAAAAATAAAATTTAATTTATATTTTATTTGGTTAAATTTAATTTATATTTAATTTAATTCACATTATATTTTATATCTTTTTTATAATTTTATTTAAATTTTAATTTAAAATATATAATTTTTTAAATATTCACAAGTATCCATAGATACCCGCGAGTTTTAAAATCCTCACGAATATATTTTAAATGGATATCCAACACGTAATAGTGTGGGTAATGAGTCAAATTTTCTTTTGCAGGTTAGGTTAGTGTTTGATTTTAGAACAAACCAAATCTAAAAGGAACCAAGCCATGGTGTTCACGGTTTTAGGTGGTGTGGAATTTGGTGGTGGTGGATGGTTGATGTTTGTCTCGGTTTTGGAGTTATATATGGTGATAAAATATGTGTTTAAGGATTCTCTAAGAGAGGTTGGACTAACTCTTTGAAAAAAGGTGACTAATATTAGGTTGCTCTAGCCTAGGGTGACCTTACTAAAATTATGAGTGCACAAAATGGCAGCATAATTTTACTTTATTTTCATAGGTGATTACATGAGGAGATGCATTAACAAAATTCGACGTTAAGTTAACGTCGTATATTGACAAAATTTGACGTTAATTTAATGTCGAATTTTTTAAATTCGACGTCAATTTAACGTCTCTTGATATGACGTCGTTTGCGAATTCGCCGTTAAAAGCCCAAAATATTCGACGTTGTACGCGATATTTGTATTAGTGATGATATCGAAAAATGAGAGTGAAAAATACATTTTCAATTGAAACAATAGTCTGATGGCCTCATTTTCCAAATCATCTAACACTCGAGGGTCAATAACTTTCTTGCAAATGACATTAAAAAACATATTCAATTGTATTAGAATACCTCTAACAAGACTAGCCATGAACTATGTTTGCTATAAGGAGATAAATTGTAAATCATCAACAAAACTAGCCATGAACTATGTTTACTATAAGGAGATAGATTGTAAATCATCAACAAAACTAGCCATAAATTATTTTTGCTATAAGGATTCATACCATTTATAGCGATTTCAAGTCTTAGGTTTCTGGAGTCTGCACCAAATTTTGGAAATGTTTTACCAATCTTCTTCCATTATACAGAATCAATTGGTATAAAAGAAGATTATCACACTTTCTTCCATCAACATGCCATTTCAAGCGTTTTGCATCTTCTTTAATGGAAAACAATCATTTTAGCTTAGGTATTATAGGAAAGTATCACACTACCTTAATAAGTGGACCGTCTTTGTCTTCATCACCACTGTTTGCATCAAATTTCTTTTTAAACTACGATAAACCACATGTTACATGCCTTTAGTGAAGCAAACTCGTCTCTGTACAATACACAATTATTGAGACATGCATGTATCTTTTGGTATTCTAAACTCATTGGCATAAAATTTTCTTTGCCTCATAATTACAAATAGGTAACATGTTATTTTTAGGGGTGGGCAAAGTGCACTATAATGTACTGTATTATAAAAATTGATAATTAACTATAAAACAGTTCAAGAAAATTGAACTGAACTAAAAAATAATTCAAAGTAACTGAACTGAAATGTTTTTTAGTTCAGTTATATGTAGTGCAGTTCACAGTTATAGTGTAGTTCAGTTATAGTGTAGCGTAGTGTTTTTTAGTTCAAAGTAACAGAGTCATTTTTCAGTTAATTATAGTGTAGTTCAATTAACTATAATGCAGTTTGTTGTTATAGGGTCTCTTAAAAGAATTTCTAAGCTCTTTGATTCAAGAAAATCTAATAATTCTGATAAGATTTCGCCAATATTTTTATAACTTTCTGAAGGAAGAAACTTGTTCCAAAATAAAAAAATCCTATTTCAAATTCATTTGTTAATAAAATCTAAACTTAAATTTTGTGTTTCTGCATTGTACACAGCCACAATAATTATGCTTTTAAGGGTGAAACCTAAAAGGAATACAAACATACTCTTCCTTTAATGAAGTCTTGAGTGCCAATGTTAACCACTGTACATTCAATTGCTTTAGCATAGTTGAGGCAAAGTGTGTGATTTTCATTCCTTTCCCATGGATTGAGTATTCTTTTCGTATTGATTGCTCGTTCACCAATGGTCCCTGGAACTGCCACATTGATAAGCTTGTTGCAACAACATGTAACTTATTTTTAAAGCAAAATTTCCATGAACAATTAAACTGGTAAAGCAAGTGAGAATATGTGCAGTACCATCATCAGGTTCTAACGCAACAAAAAACATTAGTTTAAAGTAATTTTCTTTCCTTTTTACCATTTCAGTGATATTGAATAGATTTAAGATTGAAACCATGANTCAAATGGTAGAGTTGATGTTGGACTTAATGGTGCAAAGACTTTCATCAAAGTGAGGAAAGATAATTCCTCTTTGGTTGTTCCACAAGCCAAAGTGAATGAGAATAGTAAGAGCTCTTTGAGTTTGGTTGCTTGGGTACTTTTTGGAAGCTCTTCATTTCTCAATGTCATATTTATTGGTGCCTTATGCATGTGCTTTTTCTACATCTTTCAGTACAAAAAGAAGCTTAGAGGAATTGGCAAAAGTGCCAATGCCCTTGAAACTAACTTGCGTTGCTTCTGTTATGAGGAGCTTGAAAGAGCTACAAATGGTTTCCAGAAAGAGTTAGGAAGAGGGTCTTTTGGTGTTGTCTATGAAGGAGTCATAAACATAGGCTCAGAAATTCCAATAGCAGTGAAAAAGCTAAACACTTTGCTTTTCCAACAGGTTGAGATGGAGTTCAAGAACGAGTTACATGCCATTGGTCTCACTCATCACAAGAACTTGGTGCGGTTGATAGGCTATTGTGAGGCTGAAAAAGAAAGATTGTTGGTTTATGAGTATATGAGCAATGGCACTTTGGCAAGTCTTATTTTCAGTGAGGTGAAACCTGAGTGGAAACTGAGGTTAGAGATTGCATCTGGGGTAGCTAGAGGACTTGCATATTTGCATGAAGAGTGCATCACTCAGATTATCCACTGTGACATAAAGCCACAAAACATACTCATTGATGAGTACTATAATGCCAGAATTTCTGACTTTGGATTGGCCAAGCTCTTGAAGATGAACCAAAGCAGAACCAACACTGCCATAAGGGGAACAAAGGGGTATGTGGCACTTGAATGGTTTAAAAACATGGCTATCACAGCTAAAGTGGATGTCTATAGTTATGGTGTGTTGTTGCTTGAGATCATTTGCTGCAGAAGAAATGTAGAAATGGATCTAGAAGAGGAAGAGAAGGTTATACTAATTGATTGGGCTTGTGATTGCTATTCAAGAGGTACTTTTGATCCCTTGGTTGAAGATGACAAGGAGGCATTCGATGACAAAAAGAACATGATGAAGTTGGTGATGATTTCCATTTGGTGCATTCAAGAGGATCCAATTCTTAGACCAACCATGAAAAAAGTGACACAGATGCTTGAAGGTGTTGTAGAAGTCGAACCTCCACCATTCCCCTCACAATTTAGTAGACATTCTCAAAATCCATGACTTCTTCATGTAACCTCAAAAAACACTAAAATAAAACATCTTTGATTCACTCCTGTTCCAGGGTTTTCCTATTTACTTATTTTATGTTGTCTCTATTATGTCTTTGAAGATTATGAAGTGTTCTCGCTTGCATATATCATGTTATTTCCAATCATATTTCACAATTATTAGCAATTCCTTGTTTCTTTTGTATAAATACATATGTTATTTTAATTGGAACATTGTTTTTAGCACTAGCTCAAAATTAGTCTTCCATGTTACATGTTTTAGGTTGAACTTAAAGGAAAATATCGAAAAAAAAAGTGCATTTTGGTAAATAAGTAGAACCTATTTACGTTGGACTTATTGAAATCTAACTAAAATTGTTTAAATTAGAGCTCCCAAATTCCTTTTTCCTTACGATTTCCACACGAATTTTTCCTCTTCTCTCGTTTTCTTTCTCTGACGGTATCATGAGTGTTTCTAAAGGTGTTGAAGGTCAGTTTTGTTGTGATTGGTGTTTTTAACTAAGAGGATTGAATTTTTTGTGGGATGCTCTGTATCTTCACTGTATTATTGGAATTATTGAAATTGATCTATATCTTCATTGTATTATTGGAATTAGTGAAATTGAAACCCATATTGTTTTTTATATCTCAATCACGAAAATGTTTGAATGTGTTCATTGAATTTGTTTGTTTATGTAATTTTTGTTCAATTTAAATTATGCTATTTAGTTTATTAAATTTGATAATTGAAATTAAAGTATTTTAAGAAGTGAACAATATTAAATGGTGATAAAGACTATAACTTGAAATTTAAGAATAATAAATTTTTAGGCACTAACTAATTATAGTAAGCGACTTAGTCTTTTAGTCCCACTTTGTTAAAAATATTAGAGATTAAATTATAAGAAATTTATAAAATATAATTAACATTGACTATTTATATGATTTTGAAGGGTCAATGTAATTTTAAGTTTTTCTTTATAGTTTTTCTCTCACAAAGATAAATTTATTTTTTTATCAGAATTCATGTTTCATTATAAGACAAGTGTATAGTTTATATGATAAATTAAACAAATCTTATAAATTTGAAAATTAATAAATAATATTTAATTTAATGTACATTATATAAATAACTATTCTATGTATTTAATTAAAAAAATCAAAGTTATAAAAAAAACTTAAAATTACATTGATATGTGTAAATATTCGTGAATAAAATATGCTACAAATAATAAATGGATACTTCAAAGAACTACTCGCTCTAATCAATAATAGATAATTTAATACCAACTAATAAACATATGTATCATATTATTTATATTATTTGTATTCGGGTATCCATTATTCATAAAAAAGTAAAAATAAAATTTAATTTATATTTTATTTGGTTAAATTTAATTTATATTTAATTTAATTCACATTATATTTTATATCTTTTTTATAATTTTATTTAAATTTTAATTTAAAATATATAATTTTTTAAATATTCACAAGTATCCATAGATACCCGCGAGTTTTAAAATCCTCACGAATATATTTTAAATGGATATCCAACACGTAATAGTGTGGGTAATGAGTCAAATTTTCTTTTGCAGGTTAGGTTAGTGTTTGATTTTAGAACAAACCAAATCTAAAAGGAACCAAGCCATGGTGTTCACGGTTTTAGGTGGTGTGGAATTTGGTGGTGGTGGATGGTTGATGTTTGTCTCGGTTTTGGAGTTATATATGGTGATAAAATATGTGTTTAAGGATTCTCTAAGAGAGGTTGGACTAACTCTTTGAAAAAAGGTGACTAATATTAGGTTGCTCTAGCCTAGGGTGACCTTACTAAAATTATGAGTGCACAAAATGGCAGCATAATTTTACTTTATTTTCATAGGTGATTACATGAGGAGATGCATTAACAAAATTCGACGTTAAGTTAACGTCGTATATTGACAAAATTTGACGTTAATTTAATGTCGAATTTTTTAAATTCGACGTCAATTTAACGTCTCTTGATATGACGTCGTTTGCGAATTCGCCGTTAAAAGCCCAAAATATTCGACGTTGTACGCGATATTTGTATTAGTGATGATATCGAAAAATGAGAGTGAAAAATACATTTTCAATTGAAACAATAGTCTGATGGCCTCATTTTCCAAATCATCTAACACTCGAGGGTCAATAACTTTCTTGCAAATGACATTAAAAAACATATTCAATTGTATTAGAATACCTCTAACAAGACTAGCCATGAACTATGTTTGCTATAAGGAGATAAATTGTAAATCATCAACAAAACTAGCCATGAACTATGTTTACTATAAGGAGATAGATTGTAAATCATCAACAAAACTAGCCATAAATTATTTTTGCTATAAGGATTCATACCATTTATAGCGATTTCAAGTCTTAGGTTTCTGGAGTCTGCACCAAATTTTGGAAATGTTTTACCAATCTTCTTCCATTATACAGAATCAACTGGTATAAAAGAAGATTATCACACTTTCTTCCATCAACATGCCATTTCAAGCGTTTTGCATCTTCTTTAATGGAAAACAATCATTTTAGCTTAGGTATTATAGGAAAGTATCACACTACCTTAATAAGTGGACCGTCTTTGTCTTCATCACCACTGTTTGCATCAAATTTCTTTTTAAACTACGATAAACCACATGTTACATGCCTTTAGTGAAGCAAACTCGTCTCTGTACAATACACAATTATTGAGACATGCATGTATCTTTTGGTATTCTAAACTCATTGGCATAAAATTTTCTTTGCCTCATAATTACAAATAGGTAACATGTTATTTTTAGGGGTGGGCAAAGTGCACTATAATGTACTGTATTATAAAAATTGATAATTAACTATAAAACAGTTCAAGAAAATTGAACTGAACTAAAAAATAATTCAAAGTAACTGAACTGAAATGTTTTTTAGTTCAGTTATATGTAGTGCAGTTCACAGTTATAGTGTAGTTCAGTTATAGTGTAGCGTAGTGTTTTTTAGTTCAAAGTAACAGAGTCATTTTTCAGTTAATTATAGTGTAGTTCAATTAACTATAATGCAGTTTGTTGTTATAGGGTCTCTTAAAAGAATTTCTAAGCTCTTTGATTCAAGAAAATCTAATAATTCTGATAAGATTTCGCCAATATTTTTATAACTTTCTGAAGGAAGAAACTTGTTCCAAAATAAAAAAATCCTATTTCAAATTCATTTGTTAATAAAATCTAAACTTAAATTTTGTGTTTCTGCATTGTACACAGCCACAATAATTATGCTTTTAAGGGTGAAACCTAAAAGGAATACAAACATACTCTTCCTTTAATGAAGTCTTGAGTGCCAATGTTAACCACTGTACATTCAATTGCTTTAGCAAAGTTGAGGCAAAGTGTGTGATTTTCATTCCTTTCCCATGGATTGAGTATTCTTTTCGTATTGATTGCTCGTTCACCAATGGTCCCTGGAACTGCCACATTGATAAGCTTGTTGCAACAACATGTAACTTATTTTTAAAGCAAAATTTCCATGAACAATTAAACTGGTAAAGCAAGTGAGAATATGTGCAGTACCATCATCAGGTTCTAACGCAACAAAAAACATTAGTTTAAAGTAATTTTCTTTCCTTTTTACCATTTCAGTGATATTGAATAGATTTAAGATTGAAACCATGAAAATAGATGATCGGGATAAAAAAACAAAAGGGAATAAGGTGATGCATAGTGCAGATACTGAATTAAAAAAGAAACCACAAGAACCATCACCCTGAAAAGATGATTAGCAAATGAAAATGACAAAATAAAAATCACCTTAAGAAACAATTCACCTTAAGATCCACAACCTTCAACCTTGACATCTTAGAAAGCCAAATCCACAATGACAAGCCTCCCACTCTCCCTTATGCTCATGAACTACACAAACACACAATATTGAGTGACTCCACAAAATCACAATGAAAAAAAAATAAAGATAATTAAAACTTTTCAGTGGAAATAATATTGATTAGCAACTATGGTGGTAATGTGAAAGTCTTAACAAGAAAAAAGCTAACATTATAATGACATTGTGAGTATATATGATCATGATAAAAGAAATCGCGTTGTTGAGTTGGTAAGGTTAATTCCGAAATGGCTTGGTTATTTAGTGGCATGCATCCAACAAAGAAGCACTCATGCCCAAATGTGTTCATACAAACATCAATCAATCAAAATGGGAAAAATAGTCAAGACACAAATGAAAGAGCTTTCTCATCTTCCTTTTTTCACCCTTATTAACTATATAGGAACGAATCAGACTTATTGAGTATTACCCTTTTAACTGGAAGGAGGGACAGGTGGCGGTAGGGACGAAGAGGACAACAGACCTGGACTAATAGAGGGAGATGGAAGGAAGGATGGGTGGCGGCGGAGAGGAAGAGGGCAGCGCGATAGAAAATCTTTGACGGTGGTGATAAAAAGAAAGTTCTATGGAGAAAGGCACATAGTTCACACAGTTAACTATAGTTAACTGTACTAAAATAATTAAGGTTCAGTTTTTTAACCTAAACTATAAAATAACTTAATTAGTTTTTAGTATAAATCAGTTTAGTTTTTTTAAGTATAATATAGTACAGTTAATTGTAGTTTGGTTCAGTTCAGTAAATTATGCCCAACCCTAGTTATTTTCAAAAAGCATCTCCTTTAGCAACTCCAACAATTCTATGAAACTTTTATTGGTCCATCCATTTCTTACTTTTAAACTGAACAATTTCAAAGTTGTTGATAGTCGTATAAAGTTAGATAATCTTGGATACAACTATTCCTCTAAATCGAACTTAAGAGAGTCATATAAATGAGCTCTTCCAAATTTTATTCACCAACATCATGTACCATGTCTTCTAAATGATCACTCATCCATTCGCCCCACGTAATCTGTTCATCGTGACATTGTAGGCTTGTGTGATACTTTTCCATGCCAAGTCCAAACTATATTATTCCTTATTATACCGAAGATCAATAAATGATCATGCATGTTGCCCAAGTCCTATCGTATTTGATTACTAATGAATACAAGGACAAAAATATGTTCTGTTC